CAACTGGCACGTGGAGGGCAGGGCTCAAATCCTTCCCCTGAAGTCGAGGTGGCCTCTATGGAGACCCAGCTTTGAATTCTGCTTCCCCTCTATGGGCTGCCTTCTCAAGCCCAAGGTTCAAATCCCCAACTCCCTTCCCACAGACAGAGGCCCGACATGTTTGCATAAAGCAGAGCCTTCCCCACACTTTGCTTTCAATTGGACCAGCTCTAACAAGCCTTGATTAACCATCACATATGAGCAAGCAGCCCACAGAGGCTCCAATTTCCTCCACAAACCTTTTCCGACTGCGGTAAGCTCTGTTCCTTCCGTGCCTAGATCTGTAAATGTCAGCAGCAGCCTGAGATGCAACTAGTATAATGTGACTCCATATTGAGAGAGACACTCAGCCTCTCCCAGCTCTAGGATGGGTCATAGAGATGGGAGCCAAGAGTAGCCTGAAAATACCCCAGCATCTTATGCAACAGGCCCAAGGTAGCCACCAGAACCCATTGCTCCCAGCTCAGCCAGGGATCTCCCACCCCACGCCCCTTCTTGCAGCCAGGCTATGTGCTGGGAAGTAATTTGCCTCCACACGGCACCTCTTATTCCAAGCCTCAGCTTCACTTGCCACTGAAATGTGGCCAGCTCTGGGGTGGGACGTGCCAGCTGCTAAACAGGGCATGGTGGAAAGTGAAGGGAGGACCCCACCATAGGGGGATGGGAATGTCTAGGCTCACACAATGGGAATCTGGCCAGGATACCAGGCTTTCACTGCTCCCAGGAAATGCCTCTGACCATTGAGCTTCGGCCCCCGAACCCTTAACCAAGATGCTGCACACAATCCAATGCCACGTAGCAGTGGGCACCCCCTGCCTCCATCAGGGCCCCTCTGGGACCTGGCTGTGGTGCACAGTCTGTCCCACATGGCAAAGGGCGGTACCTGACTCCCCCACCAAACCTTGCCCCTGGATCATGTTCCCCATGCTGCACCATGTTTACTCTTCAGCATCCAGCTCTGGATTCCTTCAAACAGCTTCCCCATCCGTCAAACTGACACCTCCACCACAGACCCGCAGGGGCTTGCCCAGCCCCCCCCTCCCCCCAGCTCCTGATGCATGGGGAAGCAGGGGGGCCTCAGGATATTAGACTGACAACTGTGTGCGCAGCTCCCCCTCCAGACACAGCCCTGCTGTTGCCCCTTAGCGCTGACCGGCTTCTTCTGCTCTGGCCGGAGAACTCACAGAGCGAGACAAGAGCGTGACCTGGGAGAGCCCCCAGCCTCGGATGTCATCAATCAGTGCTGCTCCATCCACTTCAAATGGGGTGGTGCCTGTTCACACCAGCAGAGGAGCTGGCCCAGCCCCCAGGAGCTGGGGTGGGCCGGGGGCAGTGGTGTCCTGTGACTCTTCCAGTTGGTCAGCAGTGTGGGGGTCTGATCCTCCCCCCACCCCTCTGCGTGTGCAATTCACCTCTGAGCCTGCCGTCTGGAGCCATGCCACCTGCCAGGCTAACACCCCAGTGGGCCGACCCACGGCCGGATTTCCCCCAAATTTACCACTTACATCCAGTGCTTAATTTGTGCTGGGGCTGAGCCCTGGCACCTCACAGCTTGGCAGTTCATAGCCCCGGCACCTCTGGGCTTCCTGCATCAGTTATGAATGTAAAAAAATGGCTTGTGCCCTGGCACCTCTTTCATTACAAATTAAGCATGGCTTACATTTCCTTCATGCCAAGATTCCACCCTGGGGAGGAGTGGGCTCTGTCTGCTTTTGCCAGCTGGAGTGTCTGTGCCCTTCCCCAAGGGAGGTGGTGGGCAAGCAGCAGCCCTTGGGAACACAGATGTGTTTATGGAGGGTCCCTAACTATCAGCCTGTCAGGACATGTCTTATTGACTGTCTCTAACTGGGCTGAAGGTCTGTGGGGATGAGGTAGGTCTATCCACCGCGACGCTGCCTGAATGCTGGGTCAGGTGTCTACGTCCCAGCCTCCTGGCTGATGCCTGAGAGATGCTGGCAGTTAACCAGGTCCCCCATGCAGCAGGGCCCTGGGTCTTAGCTGCTACCAGTGAGGGAGGAGGAGATGCTCTGGGTTGGATCCCAAGCTTCACTCACACACTGCTGGCTCCCCCAACCCTACGAGCTGGTGATCAACCCCACGTCTCCCTGGGCCGGCCACCCCCACGGAGATAAGGCCAGCCCCTGAGCTGCTGTAAACAGATGCAGCCCTGGTGACTTACATCAGTGAGGACCTGGCCCCTAGACCCCGTCCTGTAGCGAAGTTACACTGAATACATCCAGTGTCTCTGGGCACAGTCCTGTATGCTCATCACCGTGGTATTCAGCCACTTTTTCTGTTCCTTCAGTCATGGGTGGGATCTTGTCTGTCCATTCACCCCGCTTCTCCTCTCCGTGTTCCCCCACTTTGACCCACAATTTTGCCCTCTCTGAGTGCAGAGGGCCCTTCCTGCTGCGATCAGCCATGATCTCCTTGCTGCCCTCCTTCCAGCACGTTACTCCTTACCTGTGCGCTCTGGAACCCGTGCTCTAGAACCTGCACCATGTCTCACAAGATCCATGCTACACCATCTGATACCCCACTCCCATTCCCACAATTCCTGTCAGCCCTTGGAGCCTATGAGCCGTTCTCCAGCATGGAGCATGATCTAGAACCCAACAGATCACAGTGTCTGCTCGAGAACCCACGGCCACCTGTTTCCTATGCTTGGACTCAAGCCGAGATCATCTTCCCAGCCCTTTGGCTCTCTCTCACTGTGGAAACACCATGCAAAACCAGGGTGTCTACTGTCCAAGTTGCTGGTCACGCCATCCCCCCCTACATCCCTCCCTCCCCAATTCCAGTTCTCTCCCAGCCTAAGAATGGTCCCTCTGTATAAACAGGAAAAGCCGGCACTGTCGAGACCACAGCACAGATTCTGTCAGCGCTGCCTCTTTCATAACCAGTCTCTGCTAATAACTTCATGCCAGGAAGTGGTGGGAGGCTGGGCCAAGACACAGAGCTGTCTGAGCCAAACATCCAAGGCTGGCTTGATGCAGCGTATTCCTCCATGCTGCCCGGCATTCTGAGACCACACTTAAAGGGCCAGACAAGGATCAGGATTCTCCAACTTCCCTAGGTCACCTGATCCTGTGCTTCACTATCGAGTTAGAAAGTTGTCCTGATATCTAACCTGAATCTCCCTGGTTGCAAACTAAGCAGATTCCTTTCTGTCCTGCCCTTGGTGGCCATGGAGAACAAATGACCACCGTCCTCTTTGTAACAATATTTTACTTACTAGAAGACTTATCAGGTCCCTTCTCAGCCTTCTCTCCTAGACTAAATAAACATCCTATTCCAGGTAACAACCGGGCAAGCTTCCCGTCAAACCGACCCTGGAGGGACCACCTGCCTTGAAACCTCCCCAATCCCTCCAGGTCTTTCCAGTGAGGGAGCCAACTGTTCTATGGGGACCTGCCTGCTAAGAACTGGCCTGAGACCTGCCAAACTCATCTTCTGCTACCTCCAGCAGGTGCAATTCTTTTAGCTTGTTGGGCTGGCTTCAGACCTGCAGCCTAGAGGGGAAATGTTCTCCCTCTCCATTTGCAACTCCTGTCCCCCCAGCCACCCATCCAGCATCCCCCAAAATGCCCTCAGTCCCTCTAGGGGCAGCCCAAGGAAATCCAAGGCCCAGCCAACAGAGTACCCCTTCCCCCCACCAGGCTTTCTGAGACCCCCTCACTCCACAGCTGGAGGAATGAAAGGAACTGGGAAGAGTCTGGTGTTCGAAACATAAACCCAAGCCAAGGTTGCTGGGCTGAGCTGGCCAGCAGGAAGGGATCCCGAGTGCCCCAGGGGTGGGGGGAGGAGAAGGCCTGGCCCCAAATTCCAAAGCAGGAGCATTAACACGTTACACACCTGCTGACAGCTGTTTTGCACCCTTTGGGCTGCTTGGTCCCTTTGAACCCAGCATCCCCCACCCATCCCTCTGTACTAACAATGGCAGAGCTTTATAGACTGCTGCCTTCTAACTCACAGCACTTGGCACGCCATCAACAGGTTAGACAGACAGGGCCCACGGAAATGCAGCCACCTCTGGGGTGGAATCCAAGCAGTGCACAGCAGAACAGCAGGCGAGCTCTGAGCGAAGCTTGAGACAGCAGGCAGTCTGGTCACTTCACACCTGAGACTGTGCCCACTTAGCCATCCCCTCCAGCCCTAGTACAGCTCAGTGGAGTGAGGGGGGGCGGGGGGGAGGTCGTGCCAGCACAGGAATGCAGCTGCTTTCCAGGTCAAGAGGCGGGAGTAGGATCTGCTCAGGGGGAGACTCCAGCCCCCTAGACTTACACATCCCAAGGCAAATTGCAGTCACTCCTGGGTCCCTCTCTGCAACCTTCCATGCACCCTACATCAGACAGCTGGCTTCTCTCTAGTTTACAGCAGACTGCTCCGGGGGCTGCGTGGGAACCCCCAAGGCAGCCAGCAGCCTCCTCTCTCGCCCTGAGCTGGGGGCCTCTGCGGACGCCCGGAGCTGCAAGCCCTGCCTCAAGTGGCCCAGCAGGGGCGGATGCCCGCCTCCACAGCGGCCAGTGCACTGCAGACCCCCGGCTGGCTCGGGGGAGCGCTGGGGAGCGTGTCCAAAGGGAGCCGTGGAGATGCCACAGGGGGAAATGCACAAACGTGCCCACGATTGTGCATGCACCCTCCCTGCCATGCGCGGGGCACCTGTACCCCCAGCCCCGCCGCCACGCGCGGGGCACCTGTACCCCCGCCATTTGCGCACAGCGTCCCTTGTGTGCACACCCCGCCTGCCAAGTCCCACGCGGGTACATTCGCCTCCACCCACGCTCAGGGGCACCCGTGGCGGCGCTCTCCCTTCCCTGCACCCCTCGCCCCCGGGTAGCTCGCGCTCAGCCACACACGCCTTCCCTCGTGTGCCCGCTCACGCGCATTTGCACAGGCACTCGTGCCCTGCCCGTCCACTTCCACGCAGGCCGGGGCACTCTGCCCCTTCCACGCCGTACCTGCCTCCAGCCTGCCGCGAGCTTCCCCCGCGGCCTCGCGCAGCAGGGCGAGCAGCAGGAGGACCCCCCATCGCATCTTGGGGGGCAGGCGCGGGCTCCGGGGCGCCTCTTCCCCCCCAGCCCCAGCCCCAGCCCCGGCTCCTCTCCGGCCGCCCAGGCTCAGCAGCGCTGGGATCGGGCGAGCAGCGACCAGTCCTGCGGCTCAGCAGCGCAGCGCCCCCGCGGACCACCCCAAGGCGGGGAGTGGGGACGGGACGCAGGCTGGGTTCGCCCAGCGTGGGGACACGAGCCGCCCGGCGCTGCAGCTCGTGTGAGAGACACTGAGCCGGGGAGACCGAGCGCTCGTGCCCCCTGCTGGCGTGTGGGTGCCATGGCTGGGGGGGGGGGTAGAGAGCAAGAGATGGGGTCAGACCCCTCCTGCCCCAGCTCCCCCCGCCTCTGCCCCGCATCCCTGTGCCGCCTCTGGCAATTCTCTGCCCCTCCCTTTCCTCAGCAGGGCGCCTGGGTTCTGTTCCCAGGGCTGAACAGGGCAGGGGCTCTAGTGGTTGGGGGACAGGCTGGGAGCCAGGATTCCTGGCTTCTATCCCTGGCTCAAGGAGGGGAGTGGGGTCTAATGGGTGTGGGGTGCTGGGAGTCAGGACTCCAGAGATTTGTCTCCAGCTCTGGTCAGGGCATGGGGTCTAGTGGGTTAGAGCGGGAGCTAGGAGCCAGGACTCCTGGGTTCTCTGCCGGCTCTGGCAGGGGAGTAGGATCTAGTGGGTTAGAGCAAGGGGGGGCCTGTGAGTCAGGACTATTGGCATCGAGTCCCAGTACTACCACTAAGTCCCTGCCTCTCCTCTCCCTGCCTCAGCTTCCCCAGTTGTATAACAAATGATAGGTAATAAGCCAACTTCCCACGGCTGGGGGGGTGGGGTGTCATTGGAAGCAATGGTGTTTGATATTTCCCTCAGCTGGAGAACAAACCAGACACCAGGGTGCTTTTACACTGGCAGGGATGGTGAAAACAAAGCAGTTGCCTGCTCCTTTCCCCCCGGGGAGATTTGCAGGCAGGAGGGAGCGCTCTGGGGAGACAGCCAGACCCTTTGTGGGCAAGTTGGATGCTTCTGATCCAGACAGAGGGTTTCAGAGCAGCACCAGCAGGAACAAAGCACTGGCTGATAATGCGACAGACTGTCGTGCTGCCCCTTGGGAGCCAGGCAGCGGAAAACCCCCCCACCCCTAGCAAACATCTGTGATCTGTTCCATCAGCTGGACGCTCCTGCACAGAACATGGGGAGAACCAGGTTCAGCTACAAACCCTGCCTGGCTCCAAAGGGAAAGGAAAGGTAGTAGGGACACTGCTCCTCCCTGCCCACTCTCGTTCAAGCTGGGCAGGGTCAGAAGGCCTCTGTTAACCTGAATTCAGGCAGAGGTGGGGATCAGCCGTGTCAGACAGACACCCCCTCATTGTGCTAGATGAATCATCTGCTGCCCAGCTTGAACGGCTGATCCCCCCTGCCCCCAACCCTGCAGCCCCCATCCCTGAGACCACCTCTCCATTCAGGGCTTGGCACCATACACAGGCATGTGCAAATGGCTCACTGCGGGGGCCCCCCTGGGTAGGTTAGGATGGGATCTTTCTCCTGGTCCCCAGGGACAGCAACCCCCCCACCACATCTTGGAGCAGAGTCATGGCTGAGATCTCCAGAGCTCTGAGGACAAGCCCCAGTTTGGAACGGTGGGTCACTGCTAATGGGGAGGTCAGTTCCATTCAGCGCAGAGGCTTTTCCTTTCCAAGGGCTGGCACTACTTGCTACCCAGCTCCTATACCCCAGCCCTCTCCTCCTGCAGGGAGCTCTCACTCAGGAAAGCTCCTGGGAATTTCCTCCAGAGCCTGGAATGGAATTTACAAGTGGCAACATGACCCCATGAGTGGCAGGCAGAATATGCCCCTGGGGGATCTGATCTGAAAATGATCATAGAATCATAGAATATCAGGGTTGGAAGAGACCTCAGGAGGTCATCTAGTCCAACCCCCTGCTCAAAGCAGAACCAATCCCCAACTAAATCATCCCAGCCAGGGCTTTGTCAAGCCTGACCTTAAAAACCTCTAAGGATGGAGATTCCACCACCTCCCTAGGTAACCCATTCCAGTGCTTCACCACATTCCTAGTGAAATAGTTTTTCCTAATATCCAACCTAGATCTCCCACACTGCAACTTGAGACCATTGCTCCTTGTTCTGTCATTTGCCACCACTGAGAACACCCTCGCTCCATCCTCTTTGGAACCCCGCCTTCAGGTAGTTGAAGGCTGCTATCAAATCCCTGCTTACTCTTCTCCTCTGCAGACTAAATAACCTCAGTTCCCTCAGCCTCTCCTCGTAAGTCATGTGCCCCAGCCCCCTAATCATTTTTGTGGTCCTTGTTGAACCTCATCAGATTTCTTTTGGCCCAATCCTCCAATTTGTCCAGGTCACTCTGGACCCTATCCCTATCCTCCAGTGTATCTACCTCTCCCCCCAGTTTAGTGTCGTCCGCAAACTTGCTGAGGGTGCAATCCATCCCATCATCCAGATCATTCATGAAGATGTTGAACAAAACTGGCCCCAGGACAGACCCCTGGGGCACTCTAGCTTGTCCCAGCTAGACATTGAGCCATTGATCACTACCCGTTGAGCCCGATGATCTAGCCAGCTTTCTATCCACCTTACAGTCCATTCATCCAATCCATACTTTTTTAACTTGCTGGCAGAATACTGACGGAGACCGTATCAAAAGCTTTGCTAAAGTCAAGATATATCATATCCACCACTTTCCCCATATCCACAGAGCCAGTTATCTCATCATAGAAGGCAAACAGGTTGGTCAGGCATGACTTGCCCTTGGTGAACCATGTTGACTGTTCCTGATCACCTTCCTCTCCTCCAAGTGCTTCAAAATGGATTCCTTGAGGACCTGCTCCATGATTTTTCCAGGGACTGAGGTGAGGCTGACTGGTCAGCACCCCTTGGGGCACCCGAGCAGGGCCCAGCCATCCAGATTCCCCAGAGCACACCACATCCTGAAGATTGAGGCCCAGACTGTGACGCTGAGGCAGCCTGACGCCCCAACCCATAGCGCCAGCTCTGTGGGACAGGCAGCAAACCCAGCAGCGCGAAAGCTTGGGGAGAGAGAGACTCTGACAGGCTAAAGAAAGAAGATGAATGGGTAGAACCACATGGCAGATGAGCAACCTCAGAACCAGTGCAGCAACTGATGAGGATAATTAATAACCCGGCCCTGTCTCAGGTGGATTGGGCCAAGCCCAAACTCCCAGTGCCTTGATCAAAAGAAGTAATGATCCAGTCCAGCTGACACCCTCCACCCACGCCTGCCCCCTTCCCCCAGGAGAGGATTCCAGCTCTGGAGGGAATTAAGTCTCTTTCAGCCAAGCCAGCAGCAGGGTTGAAGCCCCTGGTTCAGAGGTGGGGTGAATTTATACTCACCTGTGGAACACCAAAGGCTAAGGGAGCTGGGTGGAGTTGGGCAGAGCATGGCCAGAGGCCAGCAAGCTGCCCCCCTCTCCCCAGACACACCTACTGCTTCAGCAGCTCCACCTGCAGCTCCCCCCTATTCCAGCCCTGGGCTCCCTGGCCCTCCACCCCCCTCCTGATGCTCCTCAATCCCAACCCACAGCCTTTTCTGCTTTTGGCCATGACTGGGGAAACTGAGGTACCAAGGCACAGTGACTTGCTCCAGATCTGGCTGTTTATGGAGTGACCTCAGGCGTTCACTACTCCTGGTTCAATGGGCATGTTCAGACAACCCCCACTGAAAGTGGAATTGGAGCTCCCTGGATCTGGGACATACTGACAGGAAGCAAACCTGGGTATCCACAAGTCTAATGCTCCCATCAGCCCATCCTCCTCCTCCCAGATGACTCCCTAGAGGGCCTGAGAGGCTCCCTACCCATCCCTGGCTGCTCTTCCATGCATGGGGCTCTGATGACAGAGCTGGATTACCTGGAACTAACTCTGACCCAGGCAAGGACTTCCCCAGAAATTGAAACTAGAGGTGGTTCAAATTTACAGAGGGGTTGGAAAATGACTAAAGTAGCAACACTGTGTAACTAACTGACCATGGGGGGGGAATTCAGGAGGGTTGTACAGCCCCCCAGGAGAGGTGCAGGGAAATCCCTGACTCAGCCAGCACGTGCCTGCCATTAGCTCCCCCCTGACCCAGAAACCTGTCTGGCCTGCAGTCAGCAAGAGGGCACATGCAAGCCATTTGCACCATCAGACGCTCCCTTTTAATTTGCTTTGGCCATAAATCAATTCCTTTTTTAAAAGGCAGATGAAGAATACCTTCAATCTGAGCCATTCTGTCATGTCACCGGCAAGGGGGCTTGCTAGTATCCGCAACTGAAAGGGAGGGCAGGCAGGGCTGGACCTGGGTTCAGTTCAGGAGGGCATCGCCAGGAGGTTGAGATCCAGATCTGACCCCTCTCTCCCTAGGCTTCAGAAGCATTTGGAACTGGAGTTCTGGTTCTTCTTGTTAGTTTTGGGGACACAGCGGTGCCAATCCACCCACCTTTTGCCCCCTTGTTTCCCTCTCCCATCCTTGCCATTATTTTAGTTCTTGAGCAGTTAAACTTGTGAGCCCAGGATTTAGCTCCCATCCCAATTGCCTGGCAGCACAGCATCACACCCGCCCCACCTTCCCTGTCTGGACCCTGCTTACGGACACAGGCAACCATTGCACACAATCAGCTTGGCCAGCGGCGCAGCCAGCCCCCTGCTGAATAACTCCATGGGGACACTCCCCCCAACACACACACACACACACACGGCCAAGCCGCTGCCTGCCTCACTGATTCTCCGAGCAGCGTTCTGGCACAGATGCTCAGAGTCTATCAGCCCAGGACCACAGGCTGGGCTGCCCAAGGCCCTGAGCCAGCCCCACTGCCCTGCTTGGTAATGTCAGGCCAAAGAGGCCATCGTCGCTGGGATGTGCCCCCCCCCCAAGCCTGCCCACGGAGGTGGGGGTGCCAGTGTACCAGGGAAGGAAGAGGAGAGCCCTGCCCCGTCCCAGCCCCACATGAGGGCCCGGAGGGACCCAGATCTTGAAGGGTCACTGACTGTGACACCAGCCCCAGGTCGTCAGCGACAGCGTGGGGAGAGAATCTGCACAGAATGACACCTGGCTCAGCCTGGGGGGTGGTCAGTCATCAGTCATTGCAGCAGTTAGGGCTCCAGGAAGAACTGAAGGAAGTGTTTGCTTTGCTCCTCAGGCCTGGCCTGACCCCTTTTCTTGCAATCTCCCTTCTGCTCTTGGAA